AGAATTTTTAATATTTATTTTTTAGTTCTCGGCGGACACAACATCTTTGTTGGTATGTGGTGCTGAGGATCGAACCCGGGCCGCACGCATGCCAGGCGAGCGCGCTACCGCTTGAGCCACATCCCCAGCCCCAGAATCTTAGTTTTAATGAACAGAGGGATACAGGTGGCTTACAACTTGGCCATGATAGTAGGAGATAGGTGTCATTGATGAGTACATAATAGACCTAGTTTCCTTGGGATATTTGATTTTGATCTTGGGATATGCATATCTGTTCCCCAGACTCCTCATGTAATTCTTGGGTTGGATGCAGATGAGCTTGCCATTGCCCTTTGGTACAGTAGAGACAGTGGGCATGGAACAGGGGGTGAAACCAAAAGCTTGGTCCTYGCTCTCACACCAATCCAATAATGAAGACAAGGTCTTGAGAAAAAGGAAAAAGAAGGTTTATTGCTTTGCTAGGAAAGGAGAAACATAGGGGACTCCTGTCCCAAAGGCTTTGATTCTGCCCATTAGTAGAAACAGGGTGGCTTTTATACAGGTGATTCAGAGAAAATGAGATTAGGGAGGAGATACCAGGAAGGAGAAGTTTAGGGAGAAGAAGATTGGGAAAAAGTAAAACAAACATACAAACAAACATATAAGCTTCAAAGCCACAAGGGATATAGTCTAAGCATCAAGTGAACCCTGTTACAGGAAGAGGAGGCTGCTGGTGTCTGGAGGGGCTTACAAATATGTGGAATCTTTTAAAAGTGATCCTAAGCATTTGACATCTCTAAATGTTTATGGGCTAGGGAGAAATTCTAGTTATTGAGCTGTGTGAATAAAACTGACCATGTGGCTCAGAGACTGGAGGAGACTGGCTCCCGTCTAACTCCCAATTTTACAAAGTTTATTTCTTGCATATGCATTTCCTTCAGTTTTTCCCAGCTTCTTTTATTTCAGGTTCTTGGATATTGAGAAGATGGAAGTATTGATAGTATGTCTTACCCTCTAGAAAGA